AAAGCTTTGGGGAAAGAAATAGAGGGGGAAAGTTTTTCAATAAAAATGGGGGGACTAGTGAAACAGCGAATCCTACTTTAGGTGAACAGAAAGAGAAAGAGAACGTGAAAGAAGGAGAAAAGAGAAAATTTGTTAAGAGTAAGCCGAAGGAATGTTGGCTTTGCGGGAGGCAAGGGCATTTCCGTAACGAGTGTCCGGAAAAAAAGGAAAACGTGGTTTAGTTGATCTCGGCGGGGAGAGATCAGCTTGCATGGATAAATCCCCGACGAAACGGTGTTTTCTTGTTAATAGAGTGCATAAGATTTTTCAAGATTATTGTTACACTGGTTTTCTTAATAATAAAGAATGCATTTTCAAAATAGATACGGGTTCCGATGTTTCTTTAATAAATAGGAAATTCGTTCGTGAAGGGGAACGGAGATTTCCGGTATTCGGTCGAAGATTCAAGTATCCCACGGGAGAAGACGTTACGGTTGACTTCGAAATTCTCGCCAAGGTTGAACTCGGTAAAAATTCATTCGAGCTTCCGATATTAGTGTCGGACATTGCGGATGATTGTCTTTTGGGGGTGGATTTTCTCCGGAAGACAGATTTCGGTCGAGTTTGCGATTCTTTTTTTCGGCGTACCTTCTGTTATTCGAAGGATTGCCCAAACGAAAGATTCTAAGGAGTTCTCTCCCCTTTTGGAGGAGCTCCTTTCTAAAAATTCTAAGAATCTTTCCGATAATCAGCAAAATGTTTTTGTCGAATTCATTCGTGAATATCGGGATGTATTTTCTGAAAAAATTGTTGCGGGAAATTGTGATGTAGTTAGACATGTAATTAACGTTGTAGATTCTCTCCCTATTAAACAGGTACCACGCAGAATCCCTTTTAACATGAGAAAGGAAGTCAATGAGATTATTGAGGAAATGAAGGAACAAGGAGTGATCGAAGCGTCACAAAGCCCCTGGATTTCTCCTGCAGTATTAGTAAAAAAGAAGGATGGATCGATTAGATTCTGCGTGGATTATAGAAAATTGAATGATGTTACTATGAAAGACTCCTTTCCTTTACCACGAATTGACGATATCCTCGACCAATTAGCAGGTAACACTTGGTTTTCTACACTCGATCTTAAAAGCGGATATTGGCAGGTGAAAATACATCCCGAGGATAGGGAAAAGAAGCCTTTTCTATCGGTAATGGTCTTTGGCAATTTACTGTGATGCCATTCGGATTATGTAACGCCCCCGCGACTTTTCAACGTCTTATGGAAAAAGTTCTTCATGGTTTATTATTTAAGATTTGTTTAGTTTATCTGGACGATGTAATTATTTTCGGGAAGAATTTTAACGAAATGGTTGAGAATCTGAAAAAGGTTTTTCTTCGTTTACGTAATGTTAATTTAAAAATCAATCCAAAAAAATGTGTCCTTTTTGAAAGAAATGTAAAATATTTAGGTCATGTAATTTCTTCCGAGGGCGTTGCAACAGATCCTGAAAAGATCTCTGCAGTGAGAGACTGGCCTGTCCCTCACACTAAGAAGCAATTGAGGAGTTTTCTCGGGTTCTGCTCCTATTATAGAAGATTTATTAGAGGATTTTCTTCAATAGCCAAGCCTTTATTTATTCTTACGGAAAATAAAGTTAAATTTGTTTGGGAAGAAAATTGTCAAAAGGCTTATGAAGAATTAAAACTTGCATTATCATCTTCCCCAATTCTATCTTTTCCTGATGGGGAAGGAGAATTTATTGTCGACACTGATGCTTCTGGTGTTGGGATTGGCGCGGTCCTTTCTCAGGAACAGGAGGGAAAAGAAAGAGTAATCGCTTATTACAGTCGTATTTTAAATAAGGCGGAAAGAAATTATTGTGTGACTCGCCGCGAACTTTTGGCGATTGTCGACTCTCTTAAATCTTTTCGCCATTACCTTTTGGGGCGAAAATTTTTAATTCGCACGGATCATGTCTCTTTGAAGGACATTAACCACTTCGGAACTTCGTCCACGTGAACTTCGCTCGAATAGCTTCAAGTCGAAGCG